CATTATTCCCCATTTTTCCATTTTTTCCCAATTTCCCCGTTTTTCGCCCCATTCTCACCCTCATGCCCACACAGTTCCTCTCTCCACTCCCATTTTTCCCCCATTTTCCCCCCATTTTCCCCCATTTTTCCCCCATTTTTTCCATTTTTTTTTCCATTTTTTCCCCATTTTTTCTCCATTTTCCCCATTTTTCCATTTTTTCCCAATTTCCCCGTTTTTTGCCCCAATCTCACCCTCATGCCCACACAGTTCCTCTCTCCATTCCCATTTCCCCCCATTTTCCCCCTATTTTCCCCATTTTTCCCCCATTTTTTCCCCGATTTTTTCCATTTTTTTTCCATTTTTTCCCGATTTTTTCTCCATTTTCCCCATTTTTCCCGTTTTTCCCAATTTCCCCGTTTTTCACCCCATTCTCATCCTCATGCCCACACAGTTCCTCTCTCCATTCCCATTTTCCCCCCATTTTCCCCATTTTTCCCCCATTTTTTCCCTGATTTTTCCCATTTTTTTTCCATTTTTTCCCCATTTTTTCCCCATTATTCCCCATTTTCCCATTTTTCCCAATTTCCCCGTTTTTCGCCCCATTCTCACCCTCGTGCCCACACAGTTCCTCTCTCCACTCCCATTTCCCCCCATTTTTCTCCCATTTTTTCCCCGTTTTTCCCCATTTTTTCCCCGATTTTTTCCATTTTTCCTCCATTTTTTCATTTTTTCCCAATTTCCCCATTTTTCACCCCATTTTTCTCACCCTCATGCCCACACAGTTGCTCTCTCCACTCCCTTTTTCCCCCATTTTTCCCCCATTTTCCCCATTTTTTCCCCCATTTTCCCCCCATTTTTTTCCATTTTTTTTCCATTTTTTCTCCATTATTCCCCATTTTTCCATTTTTTCCCAATTTCCCCGTTTTTCGCCCCATTCTCACCCTCATGCCCACACAGTTCCTCTCTCCATTCCCATTTCTCCCCCATTTTCCCCATTTTCCCCCCATTTTTTCCCCGATTTTTTCCATTTTTTTTCCCCGTTTTTTTCCATTTTTTTTCCATTTTTCCCCATTATTCCCCATTTTCCCGTTTTTCCCAATTTCCCCGTTTTTCGCCCCATTCTCACCCTCATGCCCACACAGTTCCTCTCTCCACTCCCATTTTCCCCCATTTTCCCCCCATTTTTTCCCCGATTTTTTCCATTTTTTTTCCATTTTTTCCCCATTATTCCCCATTTTCCCGTTTTTCCCAATTTCCCCGTTTTTCGCCCCAATCTCACCCTCATGCCCACACAGTTCCTCTCTCCACTCCCATTTTCCCCATTTTTCCCCCATTTTTCCCCCCATTTTCCCCCCGATTTTTTCCATTTTTTCCCCATTTTTTCCCCATTATTCCCCATTTTCCCATTTTTCCCAATTTCCCCGTTTTTCACCCCAATCTCACCCTCGTGCCCGCGCAGTTCCTCTCTCCACTCCCATTTTCCCCCATTTTCCCCCCATTTTTTCCCCATTTTTTCCCCATTTTTTTCCATTTTTTCCCCATTTTTTCCCCATTATTCCCCATTTTTCCATTTTTTCCCAATTTCCCCGTTTTTCGCCCCATTCTCACCCTCATGCCCACACAGTTCCTCTCTCCACTCCCATTTCCCCCCATTTTTCCCCCATTTTCCCCATTTTCCCCCCATTTTTTCCCCGATTTTTTCCATTTTTTTTCCATTTTTTCCCCATTTTTTCTCCATTATTCCCCATTTTTCCATTTTTTCCCAATTTCCCCGTTTTTCGCCCCAATCTCACCCTCGTGCCCGCGCAGTTTCTCTCCCTCTCCGCGCTCCAGCAGCGCCTCGGCCTCGCGCACGAACCCCACCAGGCCCCCGAAGGGCGGCGCCAGCAGCTCCTCCACGAACTCCTGCGGCCCCAAAATCCCGGGAATTCACCCCAAAATCCCACATTCCCAAAAAAGACCATTTGCCCGTTCCCCCCGTTTTTTCCCCGCTTTTTCCCCATTTTTTCCCAATTTTTCACCATTTTTTCCCAATTTTTCCCCATTTTTTCACAGTTTTTCCCCATTTTTCCCCCCATTTTTCCCCCATTTTTTGCATGTTTTTTCCCCTTTTTTTGCCCGTTTTTCCAGTTTTCCCCCCGTTTTTTTCCAGTTTTTCCCCATTTTTCCCCCCCATTTTTGTCCCAATTTTCCCTCATTTTCCCCCAATTTCTCCCCATTTTCCCCCATTTTTTGCCCGTTTTTTCCCCACTTTTCCCCCATTTTGTACCAATTTTTCCCCACTTTTTCACCCATTTTTCCCCTTTTTTCTCCATTTTTTCCAATTTTTCCCATTTTCCCCCCAATTTTCCCCCATTTTTTCCCAATTTTCCCCATTTTCCCCAATTTGTTCCCATTTCCGCCCTTTTTTTCCCCCTTTTTCTCGGTTTTTTTCCCCATTTTCCCCCATTTTGTCCCAATTTCCCCCCATTTTTGTTCCCATTTTTCCCGTTTTTCTCCATTTTTTCCCTTTTTTTTCCCATTTTCCCCCATTTGTTCCCATTTTTTTTTTTTTTTGGGTGAATTTTGGTGCAAATTCCAGCAGTTTCGAGCTGAATTTCGGGCTGGATTTTGGGGTGAAATCCGGCATTTTCAGGGTGAATTTTGGAGTGAATTCTGGCGTTTTTGGGGTGAATTTTGGGCTGAATTTTGGGGTGAATTTTGGGGTGAATTCCAGCGTTTTCGGGGTGAATTTTGGGGTGAATTCTGGCGGTTTTGGGGTGAATTTTGGGCTGGATTTTGGGGTGAATTCCAGCGTTTTCGGGGTGAATTTTGGGGTGAATTCTGGCGGTTTTGGGGTGAATTTTGGGGTGAATTTTGGGGTGAATTCAGGCAGTTTGGGGGGGAATTTTGGGCTGAATTTCGGGCTGGATTTTGGGGTGAATTCTGGCAATTTTGGACTGGATTTTGGGGTGAATTCTGGCAATTTTGGACTGGATTTTGGGGTGAATTCCGGCGTTTTCGGGGTGAATTTCAGGCTGAATTTCAGGCTGAATTTTGGGGTGAAATCTGTCAATTTTGGGCTGGATTTTGGGGTGAATTCTGGCATTTTCGGGCTGGATTTTGGGGTGAATTCTGGCAATTTCGGGCTGGATTTTGGGCTGGAATTTGGGGCGAATTCCGGCGTTTTCGGGGTGAATTTCGGGCTGGATTTTGGGGTGAATTCTGGCAATTTTGGGGTGAATTTTGGGATGAATTTCGGGCTGAATTTTGGGCTGAATTCTGTCAATTTTGGACTGGATTTTGGGGTGAATTCCGGCGTTTTCAGGGTGAATTTCAGGCTGAATTTCAGGCTGAATTTTGGGGTGAAATCTGTCAATTTTGGGCTGAATTTTGGGCTGAATTCTGGCATTTTCGGGCTGGATTTCGGGCTGGATTTTGGGGCGAATTCCGGCGTTTTCGGGGTGAACTTCGGGCTGGATTTTGGGGTGAATTCTGTCAATTTTGGGCTGGAATTTGGGGCGAATTCCGGCGTTTTCGGGGTGAATTTCGGGCTGGATTTTGGGGTGAATTCTGGCATTTTCGGGCTGGATTTCGGGCTGGATTTTGGGGCGAATTCTGGCGTTTTCGGGCTGGATTTTGGGGCGAATTCTGGCGTTTTTGGGCTGGATTTTGGGGTGAATTCCGGCGTTTTTGGGCTGGATTTTGGGGTGAATTCTGGCGTTTTTGGGCTGGATTTTGGGGTGAATTCCGGCGTTTTTGGGGCTGACCTGCGTGCGCGCCGACAGCAGCTGCTGGAACCCCTCGACCTCTTTGCTCTCCTCGGCCGCTCGCTCCTGGAACCCCAAAAATCCCCAAATGGCCCCAAAATCCGGGGCAAAAAAACGGGAATTTGGGAAAAACGAGGGAGTTTGGGGGGGAAAGGGGAAATTTGGAGGAAAAAATGGGAATTTTGGGGAAAAATAATGAATTTAATGGGGGAAAAGGGAAATTTGAGGAAAAAAATGGGAATTTTGGGGAGAATTTTGGGGAAAAATGGGAGATTTTGGGGAAAAATGGGAATTCTGGGAGGGATTTTGGGGGAAAATGGGAATTTTGGGTGAAAATGGGAATTTTGTGGGGAATTTTGGGGGGAAATTGGAATTTTGTGGGGAATTTTGGGGGAAAATGAGAATTTAGTGGGCAATTTTGGGGGAAAATGGGAATTTTGGGTGAAAATGGGAATTCTGTGGGGAATTTTGGGGGAAAATTGGAATTTTGTGGGGAATTTTGATATAAAATGGGAATTTTGAGGGAATTTTGGGGGGAAATCAGAATTTTGGTGGGAATTTGGGGAAAAATGGGAATTTTGGGGGCAATTTTGGGGAAAAATGGGAATTTTCGGTGAAATATGGGAATTTTGGGGGAATTTTGGGGGAAAAGGAAAATTTGGGGGAATTTTGGAGCATCCTGGGTTGATTTTGGGGCATTTTTTGCTATTTTTGGGCCATTTTGGCGGGGATTTTTTGGGAATATTTTGGGATTTTTCGGGAATTTTGGGGCAATTTGGGAATTTTGGGAATACCGTCAGCACGCTGAGCATCCTGTGCGAGTTGGGGATGAGGAACTGGAGCTGCTCGGGTGAATTTGGGGCATTTTTGGTGATTTTGGGGCCGTTTTTTGCTATTTTGGGGCGATTTTCGCCGGGATTTTTTTGGATTTTTTGGGAATGTTTTTGGGAAATTTGGGAATTTTGGGAATACCATCAGCACGCTGAGCATCATGTCGTAGTTGTTGATGAGGAAGATGAGCTGCTCCCGGCGCGACGGGAACTCGGCGGCCGCGCGCAGCACCAGGTTCTCCACCTCCAGCTGGGGCAAAAACGGGAAAAAATGGGAAAAAATGGGGAAAATGGGGAAAAATGGGGAAAAACGGGGAAAAACGGGGAAAAAGGGGGAAAAAATGGGAAAATAAATGGGAAAATGGAGAAAAAAATGGGGGAAAATGGAGAAAAAATGGGTGAAAATTGGGGAAGAAAAGGAGGGGAAATGGGGGAAAATGGAGAAAAAATGGGGAAAATGGGGAAAATGATGGAAAAATGGGGAAAATGGGGAAAATGGGGAAAAATGGGAAAAAATGGGAAAAATATGGGAAAAAAATGGGAAAATGGAGAAAAAATGGGGGAAATGGAGAAAAAATGGAGGAAAAATTGGGGAAGAAAAGGAGGGGAAATGGGGGAAAATGGAGAAAAAATGGGGAAAATGGGAAAAATGATAAAAAATGGGGAAAATGGGGAAAAATGGAGAAAAAATGGGAAAAATGGGGAAAAATGGGAAATAACAGGGAAAAATGGGAAAAAATGGGAAAGACATGGGAAAAAAATGGGAAAAGGGAGAAAAAATGGGGGGAAATGGAGAAAAAATGGGGAAAATGGGGAAAAATGATAAAAAATGGGGTAAATGGGGAAAAATGGGGGAAAAATGGGAAAAAACAGGAAAATGGGAAAAAATGGGAAAGACATGGAAAAAAAATGGGAAAATGGAGAAAAAATGGGGAAAATGGGAAAAATTATAAAAATGGGGAAAATGGGGAAAAATGGAGAAAGAATGGGAAAATGGGAAATAATGGGGAAAAATGGGAAAAAATGGAAAAGACATGGAAAAAAAATGGGAAAATGGAGAAAAAATGGAGGAAAAATTGGGGAAGAAAAGGAGGGGAAATGGGGGAAAATGGAGAAAAAATGGGAAAAATGGGGAAAATGGGGAAAAGTTGAGGGAAATAGGGGGAAAATGGGATAAAAAAATGGGAAAATGGGAAAAAATGATAAAAAACGGGGGAAAATGGGGGGAAATAGAGGGAAAATGGAGAAAAATGGGGAAAATGGGAAAAATGAAAAAAAATGGGGAAAAATGGGGGAAATAAGAGAAAAAATGGGGAAAATTGGGAAGAAATGATAAAAAACGGGGAAAAATGGGAAAAAATAATAAAAAATAAGGGAAAATTGAGGGAAATACAGGGAAAATGGGGGGAAATGGAGAAAAAAAATGGGAAAAAATGGTAAAAAATGGAAAAATGGGGGGAAATAGGGGGAAAATGGAGAAAAAAATGGGAAAAATGGGGAGAAATTATAAAAAATGGGGAAAAATGGGGGGAAAATGGAGGAAAATGGGGAAAATGGGGAAAAAATTCCAATTTTTCCCATTTCTCTTCCAATTTTTCCCCATTTTTTGCTCCCAGTCCCTCCCAGTTAATCCCAGTTCGTCCCAGTCCCCATTTTCCATCAATTTCCCACCCAAAAATCTGATTTTTCCTTGTTTTTTTTCCGATTTTTTCCCCGTTTTTTGCTCCCAGTCCATCCCAGTCCCTCCCAGTCCATTCCCAGTTTATCCCAGTTTATCCCAGTCCATCCCAGTCCATCCCAGTCCGGACCTGCAGCCGGCCCAGCAGGGCGTCGCTCCTCTCGCTGGGCAGGGTTTGGTTGATGCTGACGATGGCCGAGGAGAACTCGGCGTAACGGCGCGTGATCTGGGGCAAAAAACGGGGAAAACGGGCAAAAATGGGGGGGAAACGGGGAAAATGGGAATTATCGGGGGGGAAATGGGGAAAAAATGGGGGAAAATGGGGGAAAAAAGTGAATAATTTGGGGGAAAATGGGGGAAAAGTAGGGGAAAATTTGAATTATTGAGGCAAAAAAAGGGGGGAAATGGGGAAAATGGGAGAACATAAGGAAAAATGGGGAAAATGGGAATTATCAGTGGGAAAATGGGGGAAAAATGGGGAAAATTGAAATTATTGGGGGGATATGGGGAAAAAAAGGGAAAAAAAAGAGGGGAAATGTGGAAAATTGGAATTATTGGGGGAAAATGGGGAAAAATGGGGAAAAAATGTGGGGAAAAATGGGGAAAATTGGAAAAATGGGGAAAATGGGGAAAAAGTGAATAATTTGTGGGAAAATGGGGGAAAATTCCCATTTTTCCGTGATTTTCTCCCCACAATTCCCATTTCCCCCCAAAAATTTCCATTTTCCCCCCCAAAATTCCCATTTCTCCCCCATAATTCCAATTTTCCCCCCAGAATTCCGATTTTCCCCCATAATTCCCATTTTTCCGGATTTTTCCCATTTTTCTGGGATTTTTTTCCATTTTCTCCCCAAAATTCCCATTTTTCTCCCAGAATTCCCATTTTTTCTCCCAGAATTCCCATTTTTTCTCCCAGAATTCCCGAATTTTCCGGATTTTTCCGGGAATTCCTCACGTAGTGTGGCCGTGTGTCGAGGCTCAGCCTCCGGGGGTCGCTGCCTCCCCTCCCTGACCCCAAAATTCCCATTTTTTTTCGTTTTTTTCCCATTTTTTCTCCCAGAATTCCCATTTTTTCTCCCAGAATTCCCGAATTTTCCCGTTTTTTCCGGGAATTCTCACGTAGTGTGGCCGTGTGTCGAGGCTCAGCCGGCGCGGGTCGCTGTCGCGGACGCTCCTCGTGTGCAGCTCCAGGATCAGCTCCAGGCGCGGCCACAGCAGCTCCAGCAGCCACGCCCAGTACCTGCAATTCCCAAAATTCCCAAATTCCCGAATTCCCAAATTCCCAAAATTCCAAAAATTCCCGAAATTCTCTTGGAAATCCCCAAAATCCCCTTGAAAATCCACCAAAATTCCATTGAAAATCCCCTTGAATCCGCCCCGAACCCCCCGAGCTCCAGCCCAGAATTCCCAAAATAATTCCCGAAATTCCTGAAATTCCTGGAATTGAATTCCCAAAATTTCCGAAATAATTCCCGAAATTCCTGAATTCCCGAAATTCCCGAATCCCCGAAATTCACAAAATTCCCCAAATCCCCAAAATTCTCACAATTCCTGAAATTCCCCAAATTCCTGAAATTCCCGAAATAATCCCCAAAATTCCCAAATTCCCAAATTACCAAAATTCCTAAAATTCACAAAATTCTCTTGGAAATCCCCCAAATCCACCAAAATCCCCTTGAAAATCCCCTTGAATCCGCCCCGAACCCCCTGAGCTCCAGCCCAGAATTCCCAAAATAATTCCCGAAATTCCTGAAATTCCTGAAATTCCCAAAATAATTACCGAAATAATTCCCGAAATTCCCTCAGAATTCCCAAATTTCTCTCAGAATTCCCCAAATTCTCTTGGGAATTCCCCAAATCCACCAAAATTCCTGAAATACTTCCCGAAATTCCCCAAATTCCCGAACTTCCGGATTTCCCAAAATTCCCAGAATTCCCTAAATTCCAAAAAATCCCAGAATTCCCAAAATAATTCCCAAAATTCTCCCGGACTTCCCAAAATTCCTGAAATTCTCACAATTCCTGAAATTCCCAAAATTCCCTCAGAATCCCCAAAATTCCCGGAATTCCCAAAATTCCCAAAATTGAATTCCCGGAATTCCCGAAATAATTCCCAAAATTGCCCCGGACTTCCCAAAATTCCCCAAATTCCCAGAATTTTTATGTTTTTGGGGAAATTGTGGGGAATTTCGGGATTTCCCACTGAGAATTCTTGGGAATTTTGGGAATCCCGGGGAATTTTGGGATTTCCGGCTGGGAATTTTTGGGAATTTTGGGAATTTTGGGAATTCTCAGCCATTGAGGGCAGGGACACCCCTGGTGAGGGATTTTGGTTGAATTTCTGATGGATTTTTGGGAATTCCTGCTCGATTTTCGTGGGAATTCCGGGGAATTTCTGATTTCCGGCTGGGAATTTTTGGGAATTTTGGGAATTTTGGGAATTCTCACCCGTCCAGAGCAGGAACCCCCCTCTTGGCCATGAGGATTCCTGAGGTGTTTTAGGGTGAATTTTTAACGGATTTTTGGCAATTTCTAACGGTTTTTCATGGAAATTCCGGGGAATTTCAAGATTTCCGGCTGGGAATTTTTGGGAATTTTGGGAATTTTTGGGAATTTTGGGAATTCTCAGCCATTGAGGGCGGGGACACCCCTGGTGAGGGATTTTGGTTGAATTTCTGATGGATTTTTGGCAATTTCTAATGGATTTTCGTGGGAATTCCGGGAAATTTTGGGATTTCCGGCTGGGAATTTTTGGGAATTTTGGGAATTGTTGGGAATTTTGGGAATTCTCACCCGTCGAGGGCCGGGACCCCTCTCTTGGCCATGAGGATTCCTGAGGTGTTTTAGAGTGAATTTCTAATGGATTTTGGGTGAATTTTTGACAGATTTTCGTGGGAATTCCGTGGAATTTTGGGATTTCCGGCTGGGAATTTTTGGGAATTCCGGGGAATTTTGGGAATTCTCACCCGTCGAGGGCCGGGACCCCTCTCTTGGCCATGAGGGCGCGGAAGCGCAGCGCCAGGTGGATGCAGAGGAAGACGGCGATGGCGTCGTAGCAATCGGCCACGAAACTCTCCAGGTGCTTCTGGAAGGTTCCGCCGCTCAGAATTCCCGGAAAAAAAACCGGGAATTGCCGGGAAAAACCCTCGGGAATTCTCGGGAAAAACCCCGGGATCAAAGGGGAAAAAACCCCCCCAGGGAATGGGAGGGGAAAGGGTGGAAAAGGAGGGGAAAATTCATGGAAAAGCAGAAAATTGTCAGGGAAAATTCCCAAAAAAATGGGAAATATTCCAAATGGACCAAAAAAGCACAAATTGGCCCCGAAAAATCCCGAAATAGCCGCAGAAATCCCCAACTAAACTCCCGAATCGACGGCCCGAAAATCCCCAAATTGGCTCCCAAATATTCCCCAAAAAAATCCCCAAATCGGCTCCCAAATATTCCCAAAAAATCCCCAAATATTCCCAAAAAAATCCCCAAATATTACCCCAAAAAAATCCCAAATATTCCCAAAAAATCCCCAAATCAGTTCCCAAATATTCCCAAAAAATCCCCAAATATTCCCAAAATAATTCCCCAAATATTCCCAAAAAATCCCCAAATCAGTTCCCAAATATTCCCAAAAAAATCCCCAAATATTCCCAAAAAATCCCCAAATCAGTTCCCAAATATTCCCAAAAATTCCCCAAATCGGGTCCCAAATATTCCCAAAAAATCCCCAAATATTCCCCAAAATAATTCCCCAAATATTCCCAAAAAATCCCCAAATCAGTTCCCAAATATTCCAAAAAATCCCCAAATATTCCCAAAAAAATCCCCAAATCAGTTCCCAAAAAAATCCCCAAACCAGTCCCCAAATATTCCCCAAAAAATCCCCAAAAATTCCCCCAAAAAAATCCCAAATATTCCCAAAAAAATCCCCAAATCGGCTCCCAAATATTCCCAAAAAATCCCCAAATATTCCCCCAAAAAATCCCAAATATTCCCAAAATAATTCCCCAAATATTCCCAAAAAATCCCCAAAAAAATTCCCAAATATTCCCAAAAAATCCCCAAATCGGCTCCCAAATATTCCCAAAAAAAATCCCCAAATATTCCCAAAAAAAATCCCCAAATATTCCCAAAAAAATTCCCAAATATTCCCAAAAAAATCCCCAAATATTCCCCAAAAAATCCCCAAAAATTCCCCCAAAAAAATCCCAAAGATTCCCAAAATAATTCCCCAAATATTCCCAAAAAAATCCCCAAATCGGCTCCCAAATATTCCCAAAAAATCCCCAAATATTTCCAAAAAATCCCCAAATATTCCCCAAAAAAATCCCCAAATATTCCCAAAATAATTCCACAAATATTCCCAAAAAATCCCCAAATCAGTTCCCAAATATTCCCAAAAAATTCCCTAATCGGCTCCCAAATATTCAAAAAAAATACCCAAATATTCAAAAAAAATCCCCAAATATTCCCAAAAAAATCCCCAAACATTCCCCAAAAAAATCCCAAATATCCCAAAATAATTCCCCAAATACTCCCAAAAAATCCCCAAATCAGTTCCCAAATATTCCCAAAAAATCCCCAGAAAATCCCCAAAAAATCCCCAAATATTCCCAAAAAATCCCCAAATCGGCTCCCAAATATTCCCAACAAATCCCCAAATATTCCCAAAAAATCCCCAATATTCCCAAAAAATCCCCACTCCTGAAATTCTGAAAAAATCCCCAGAAAATTCAAAATAAAGCCAAAAAAATCCCCCAAAAGTCAATGAAAAATTCAAAATAAACCCCCCAAAAAAACCCCAGAAAACGCCCTAAAAATCACCGAAAAATCCCCCAAAATGGCCCAAAAATCCTCAAAAATTCCTAAAAGTTAAAAAAAAATCCCAAAAAATACCAACACCCAAAATCCCCGAAAAAATCCCCATAAAATCCAAAATAAACCCTAAAAAATCATTAAAAAATTCAAAATAAATGCTAAAAATTCCCAAAAAAATCGAAAAAAATTCCCAAAAAATTCCTAAAAATTCCCAAAAAATTCCCAAATAATTCCCACACCCAAAATCCGTGAAAAAATCCCCATAAAATTCAAAATACACCCTAAAAAATCATTAAAAAATTCAAAATAAACCCCAAAAAACCCCAAAAAATC